GGTGCACAGGTGCACTCCTGCCTGCCCAGCCTTCGTTTTGCCCTCTCATTTTTCCCACATCTCCACCCATCTTGCTTTCAAGCTTGCCCCATGGGGTGCAAAGTGGGTGACCAGAAATGTGTCATTCTGCCTTGAAAGCTTTCCCAAGGGGACCTTCAGCCAGCTGAGGGCCTGGCCCGTGGTCCCCACCCTGTAGACGGTTCTGGGAAGAACCAACACCTGCAGAGAACTGACCACAGAGGGGCCTTTGAAAATGTCCCTGGGCAATTCCAGAGGCTGGAAATCAGACAGCCAAGCACTTTTCCACCCACAAGCCCAGAGCCGCAGACTTGGAGAGGCCCAACCAGAGCAGAGTGCTCTTTATTTTAAAAAGTGAATATCTGTGTCTCTGTGCATGTATGCTGTGCAGGATGGTTTATGTCTGAGATTTGCTATCACTTTGCTGGATGAATGTGTATCATCATGTATTCTGACAAATGCCATCTATTTAAATGCGTGGTCTCATGTAATCCCCCAGTGAAGGGCACACCATTACCTCATTTTACGGCCACGCAAACCCAGCTCACATCAACTCTATGTTCTGTGTTCTCGACTCCTAAACTATACAATTAGCAAATTAACTCATTAGGGGCATGTTACTACCTCTGATTAATGGAAAAGAATATTTCCCTTGGGATAGACGTGTGAGAGCCCTGGCCTGGATTCCCTGCCCTCTCCATTCCCCCGTTACCCAAGTGCAGCCATCAGTCATGCTGCCCAGGGTGGAGGGAGCTGGGCGAGGAGGAGGAGAAGGGCCTGTGCGCACAGTCTGGAGGAGGGCTCACTGGTTATAGGTTCCTGGTGACCTTGCTTTATCCTCCTTCTCACCGTTTCCTGGATTCACAGCAGATCTTTTTCCTAAGAAACTAAAGCCACTTCCCACAGATCCTCAGGGGATTTAGAACCGTAGAATCTGAGTGAGATGGGACTGTGGAGACCATATATTTCAGCCCCCACCCCTGCCCCCAGCTGGCTCTGAGAGCCCGTGCTGCCCTCACCACAGGGACACCCGGCTGGGCACAGGGAGCCGCGTGGGCCTCAGTGTGTGGTTTGCTTGAACACTGTGCAGCATGGGTGGGGGGAGGGGACAGCTAAGGTTGTTGGGTAGAAATCAAAGAAAAGTAAGACCCTCCCCCCCAGAGTGGGACATTTACCCACCTTAGCTGAAGAGACAGGGTCACAGTGGGACAGAGTCTAGGGCGCCTGAACTGCCCGCACTGGGCCAGGATGCAGGGCTGAAGCTCGTGCTGGCCTGTCTCCTACCAGGTGTCTTTGGGAGGCCCAGCCAGCCTGCTGAAGGGTCACGTCCAGGCCCTTCTGGAGGGAGAGGTCCTGAGGGCCCCTACCTGGCAGCTGCCCCTCCCCCATCACCACTGCCCTGGGGCAGCTCTGCACCCCCTCTAACCACAGGGCTGCAGCTCCCCCAGGGGGAGCCCTGAGGGAGGGGCTGCACTTGCCTCCTCCTTACCTTCGCCCAGAGCCCCAGGTGCAGCTTTTGTCTCCTCCTCCTCCCCCTCCCTGCCCTTTCTCTTTTCTTCTGGGTTCCTCACCGCAAATCGCCCTCTTCTGTCCGCTGGCTCACAGGCCGTCCTTCCTATTCCTGCTCCCTTGGGCTACGCCCCCTTAGCTGGGGTGATGCAGAGGAAGGGGGTGCGGGGGGGGCCCACTCTCCCCCAAGGCCCCGGCCCTGGACTGGCACAGCAGGAAGGGCTTGGGGCTGGCCCAGAGCAACGCCAAGACCCGGAGAGCGGAAGGGATGTGTCTAGTCACACTGCCGGGAGCAGCATCATCTCCAATGTCCAAGGCAGCCCTCCTCCCACTTCCCACACCACCTGGTCCTTGTCCCCACCCCACTCAGCATGTCCCACTCCCCAGCTCCCTTCTAGTTCCCGTCATCAGCCTGCTCTGTGGCCTCCCCAGGCCCCAACTCCTGCCTCTCTGCCAAGCTCAAGCCTCCCAGGGCAGCCAGGAGAGGGTAACCCCTTTTGAAGGCCTGCTCTCGGTAGGGGTCTGTGTGTGAAAATTACACTGAGACAGACAGACAGGTGCATGGGCATCTCACTCCTCCGGGCCCTGCCCCTCTCTGCCTCCCTGACCTTATCTCTGGCTGTCCTGCCCCGGCTGCTCTTGGAGCACAGCCCCTGCCATGCTCCCTTTCATGAGGTCACCCAGCACGTGAGGTCACCTGCTCTGGGGGCATGGCTGGTCTCAGCAGGCCCGGGGCCTGGGGTGGAGGGTGGCCAGGGAGGGACTCAGCAGCCCCCTCTGACCTGCTCTCCTGCAGGTTGTCATTAACCCCTACTACGAGGTGGCGGAGTCTGACTTCACCAACAACATCATGAAGTGCAGGGCCCGCTACGACGGCCACCGCATCTGGATGTACAACTGCCACATAGGTAAGGTCCCTGGCACTCCTGGGGGAGCACCGCACCCTCAGGGCTGCGCCTCAGGCCTGCCAGGTCCCCCCTGCAGGAGACAGGCAAGAGCTGCCCTACTTTCTCAAGGAAGCAGAGCAGCTTCCTCATTTGGGTAAAGAGCTCAGGGAATGGGGCCAGCCCCACATTTCCACATGCAGGAAGGACACCCTAGACACACGACGCCTGGATGGAGACAGGGTTTTCACAGCCAGCTCTGGCCAAAGACAGGGGGCGGTACAGAACCAGCCGGCCCAGTGTAGACCCCAAAGCTATTTAAGAGCTGGAGCTGAACCCACCCCCTCATTATGCATGTGACCTCAAAAACGTGGGCATCAGCAATTTGTGGGCTCTGTGTATCATTGTCCTCTGTCGAGAACTAGAAGCAAGCTTGATTGGCTTCTGGTCGCCAGTCAAGAAACTTCTCCCTGCATCGCACAGCCTGGGGACATGGGGAAGCAGAGCGCTGTCTTCTGCACGAAGAGCAGTGGCCCTCACTCTTGGTGAAGGCAAAGACTAAACACACTGTATTACTCGCCCAGCCGGGACAGAACAGCCGGCATGTGCCTGGCCCCAGAGACAACCAGCACCTAGTTGCTGCCCTGGTGGCGTCACATAGAGGTGGCCCCTGCCTGCCACCTGGGGGAGGGTGGGGGCTCCAGGGTCCCTGAGGCCAACCACTCCAGCCTGGGTGAGGGGGGAGCATTTGGTTTGCCAAACTCTATCTCCCTGATGCCAACCCCTCAGGTGGTTCCTTCAGTGAAGAGACGGAAAAAAAGTTTGAACACTTCAGTGGACTCATAAATAACCAGCTCTCCTCGCGGTAAAGCAGCGTTCGTGGTCACCTTGTGCCTTCGGGCCACAGCACATCTTCCCCAACAACTGTAGACCTATGGCCACCCCCCGCCCCCCCGCCCAGCCCAGTCCCTGCCCCATCTCGACCCCTGCAGCGTGTCCAAACTCAGGAGGAATGGGTGTTCCAGAGGTTGGAGCCTGGGAAGGCCTTTGAGGTGGGGCTCATCCAGAGGCCTGAGCAGCGCCAACAGCCAACTTGTCTGGGACCCAGGCGCACAGGTTGCCATCAGCTTGTCCCATCCAAACCACACTCCACCCCGAGTCTGACACCTCCCCGCTCAGCTCACCACAGACAACACCGGGCCATTTTCGTCTCAAGTTACGCAATGTGAGCATAACCCAAGGCCAGGCGGAATCCCATTTCTCCTCCCTTAGGTCATCTCCAGCCAACCTGAGTATCTAGACCTCTCTTCCAACTAAACAAACTGCCTCTTCCATTCACATGCATAAACAATGCTGCCTCGTACTTTCTGAGTGGTGAGCTCAGAGTTGGTGCTTCTCCCCCGCGTCCTCTTATTTTTAAGATATCGTTATTATATTTTCACAGACATTGAAACACAAAGTAATTTAGTAGCATTTAATATTGGGCATCTGGGCCCTTGAAAGTATAACTCAAAAGAAAACCCAACCCACCTGTGTAAGTGACTCATCTTTGTTCCAATTCTGTGGATACTGATTCAGAGGTGCTGCAACCCAGGTCCTGTGATGAGGACCCTCACCGAATGCCACGTGTCATCATGGACACTTACACATACTTGAAACTTTGAATAAAATGTTGATGACACGCACCTGTGTTTCATTTGGGCCTCTACACCTGCGAGTGGCAGGTTCCCGTTCAGTTGGCAGTCAGGGAGCTTTACATGCTCACAGGGTCACTCCTGCAGAGGTGGGCTCCGGCTTCCTTCAGTATACTCCACAAACGAGCGACTCCTGCCCTGAGAGCAGCAGCCTAAGGAGATCACAACTGACAAAAACACAAGTCACAACCTTTCTAGAACTCTTGTTTTTTACTGAATTTGTCAGGGGTGCAGTGGTTTTGTTAGGACTGGATGGGATGTCTAGATTTAAACCCTCAGGGCTTCCCAAAAGGGCAGTGCCAGGCTGGGCTCCAGGGGAAGGGTGGCGATGAAGAGCAAGGGCATCAGCTCAGAGCCCGTCCCAGCGCAGCGAGGGTGGGCGGCCGAGCCAGCTGCTCTCACGAGACACAGGGGCTCCTACTTGTGTCAAGAGCATGCTAGGGCCCAGCACATCAGAGAGGTCCACAACGTCCTCCAAGTGCCAGGTAGGACCACCTCGGCACTGACCGCACACAAACCAGAAAAATGAGTGCGCTGGGACCTTGTCGCCCGAGACGCCCTTGCACCCGAGCCTGTGAGGGAGGCGGACTTAGCAGCCATTTCAGAGTCCCCCCCAGCTTGTTCATGTTCACTTCTGCAAGGAGCTCTTCTGTACCCTCACCGACAGGTAACACGGGGACCAGGGCAGACTGGGCAGGTGGCACACAACAGGTGCAGCCTACCCCCCAACTGGGCAGGCTCTGTGCAAAAATGCCCTCGAGGCCCAGCCAGGATCCTCCAGGCCAGCCTCCTAGAGTGACCAATTTCTTCCCCAGCCCCAGATCCAACATGCGAGACGAACAGCACCCCCTAGTGTCCGGCAGCAGACGATCACACTTTGAAACAATCACATTAAAACAACTTTTAAGTTTTTATTTTTTCTTGACTTCTAGAACTAGACCAAACTAAAGCCCACCATGCCCCACAGTGACGCTCCAACAACAGCACAGGGCTGTTCTGGTGTCTGTAAAGGCTTGTGGTGTTGGGGCACCGGCTTAGTCCTGAGGGTGCCGATCAGGCTCGCGGGCCTCTCAGGGCCTCAAGGAGGTAGAAGACTCGACTGCAGGCCTCTCTCTCTTTCTGTGTTGGAGCCCCAGGGCCCGGGCCACCAGCCTCCGGGCCACGGCTGTGTTTGTCTGTGGTCTCTCCTTTGCCAGATGCAGGAGCTCTGAAAGGAAAGCCTCATGGGGTGGGGACTTGAATTCAAGGCTATGGCCACCTCTCCTCCCAGCAACACAGCAGGCTGAGAGGCAGTCTGAGCCAACCTCTGTGCCCAGTGTGGCCAGATGCTAGGGTAAAGGGGCCTACCTAGAGCCCCAGGCCCCTGTGGGGTCCTGAACCAATCCTGCCATCTCTCTGCGCCCTCCTAGTTTCTCCCTTTGTGGGGGTGGGAACAGGGGTTAATCCTGTCCACCTCCTGCTGTGTAGGGCCCTTTGAAAGGGAAATCAAGTCAGGGTGGAACACCTGGAGCTCTTGTGCTCACAGACAAGCTTTCCATTGTCCTCAAGAAGTCTGGGACCAAGGCCACATGATCCACAAGAGCCTGGATGGCCTCAGCAGGCCTCTTCCAGGCCAGTTTTGCCAGCTACTGCTTTGCAGCCACAGAAAACTGGCCTCTAAAAGCCCCCGTCACGCATTCCGGCAGAAGAGCAAAGGCGGGAGCCGTCATTTATGGGCAGCTTCAGCGTGCCCCTCGCCACTCCAGGCAGGTCTGCCAGGCTTTTTACTCACTCCTCCAGTCTACTCTGCACGAGCCGCTTATGTGACAGAGAAAGAAACCAACTCACAGACATTAGGTGACTTGCTCACACCCAGGGCTAACCCAACCCAAGCTCTTTTTACTCCACTGCAAAATATGGTTTCCACAGCCCTACAGAAAAGACCAAGCTTTTCCCTGTGCAACACCCAGCAGAGGTGTGAACAGGAGGGCAAGCCTGGAAGAGAGCAGCTGCCAGACAGCTCTCCCTGACGGGGCCCTCCTTCCCTGGGCACCCCAGGCCCCCAGGGCATAGGAGGAGCACCCCACTGGCCACTGTTGCCCAGGGGTCCTAGAGCAGAGAGCTGGAGAAGAGGGATGAATCAGAGGGAAGCCCACCCCATCCACCTGCACACTCACAGCCTTCCCCACCCCCCAGCCACAACTGGCTCCCTTACTTGGCCTCTGCAAGGCTTTCAGCTTTGACTGCTTGCTTCCCTGTGTGAGGGGCCGGATCTTGAGCGCTGAGAAATCCTTGGTCAGGGCTTCAGCAGCTACAGAAAGAAAACAGATCTGGAGCCATGCTCTCCTCCTCCTGGGAAGGCCCCCTCAGGGCCCAGGAACACATACAGCACCCAAAACTGACACAGCCGCTTCATGCACCCTTCACAGCTCAGGGACAGGGCTGCCCTGACACCTCTGGCTGGGCAAGAGATGCCAACCATCTGCTCGCCTTGTCCCCAGAGCCCCGTAGACCTGCACCAGGGCCACCTGTGCTCTCAGAAGGAAAGGCTGTGCAGAGGCCAGCTTCCACGCTCCGCCTTGGGCTGCTCAGGAGCTGCAGCAGTGAGGCTGTGATTCTGACATCAGGAGAGGCAGGCTCCTGCCTTCTAAAGCCCAGGAGCTTAAAACAAACTGTACCCTTCCCCCACTCAAGACCCTCCTGCAGCACGTGCCCTTGCTGCCCGAGTTATACTGGGCCATGGGGTATTTGGGCTACTTAGAGATGCAGCATGTCAGAGCTGGGAGGGGCTTTAGGCCCAAGCCACCGTTTTATAGATGAGGAAACTGAGGCTAGGAACATGACCTGCTCAGGCCACACAGCTTGGCAGAGTTCAGAAGGCAGCTACAGCCATGCCTAGCCCAGTGCTCATTCTTTCCATCACAAGAGGTGGCCTCTTGGCCTTCCCTTCTGCCTCCTTTTCAGCTGGCTCCCTCTGGGGTTGGAGCCCCCACTGTGCCCTGGTAGCTCTGTTCCCTAAACACACCCACTTCCCTGAATCCTCAGGCTCTCCTGAGGACTGGGCCCCCACCACCTATGGGCTCTCCCAGCTCCAGTATTCAGAACCCTCTGGTTCTGAGAAGCCCAGCCCAGGAGAGGGTTACTCTTTATAAATACACCCAAAGTGAGCAGTGGTGTGGCAGGGACAGCTTGGGAAAGTGGCCGAGCGAGAAAAGGAGCACTAGAGTTAAGAGTCAGGAGGCTGGCTGGCGTCCCCAGCTTTGACACTGAGAGGCTTCATAACCTTGAACAGACCACTGGTATTCTGAGAACTTCGGTCTCCCCATCTGTAAAAACAGAAGTAACCTGACTGACTTCTTGAGGCTGTAATGAAAACTAAGTAAGAATGTATCTGCTTGAACCATACAAAAGTGCCAGTATTTAAATGCTTTGACCCATAGAGACAGCACTTTCATAAGCTTTCATTTAACATGTGGAAGTACCTAGGGCTTGGCCTGTGACATGTCCTCAGTGTTACCTGAATCTGAAACCTCTGAACTGAAGGCACTCACACGAGGAGGAAAGGCCGTAAGCTTCCCAGCCCAGAGCCTGCTCTGCCTGCTGGACTTCTGGATTCGGGGCTGGGAGCGGCCGCAGTCCACTTGCTCAGGTTAGCCTGCACCCTGGACATGGGTGACCCCCCACCCAGGGGGACCAAGGCTCCTTCCCTTCTCAAAGACAGTCAGAGAAAGGGACAAGCCCACCGTGAAGCCACGTTACCTGAGGCCAGGCAGGGAAAGACGCCGAGCGCATGCGTGTCATCCACCCACTGAATCCTGAACCCCTTCTCTCTGTGCCGGAAGAGGAGACAGTTATTATGAAAGCTAATGGGCTAAACTCTTTCTGCAAAAGGAAGTCCCCTCCCACCTCCAATCCTCAAACACTGCGAGCCCCAGACAAGTTCCTATCTCCTCTGGGAAGGAGACAAGTGTTTGCACACACTTGCTCTGCAGACCACAGGGTTAGCTTCAGAAAGGCAAATGTGACCCCTGTTGATCAAGTGGGTCCCTGATTCCTAGAACTGACAAAGCCACAACTCAAGGAGCTCATAGATCACAATGCCAAGGGTGAAGAAGGCTCCTCCCAGGCACTGTCACAGCCAGGCCAAGGGCATGGGTCCGAGGCTGGAGACAAAAGGTTTATGTGGTGGGGACGAGAGATAGGAGCTAAAATAAGAATGTCAAGTGTCACCGCTCCTGATCAACTTTTTTCCTCCTGCTCAGGAAAGCACCACCGAGTCTGGGGTGCATGAGAGGACAGCTCCTCTGCGCGCACAGCCCACGCTGGCTGAGGAAGGCATCAGTGGCCCCAGTTTGGCCACACTTCCAAGAGGTTGAGAGCAGAAGAGCCCCTCATACCCCACCAAGCTGTCCCTTCAGCTTCCCTCCAGCTCAGGCTCAGGGAGGGCAAAGGAAGGCTGTGTAGGAAGCAGTCAGCAAAGCAAGCTACAAAGGAAGGGATTTTTTAAAAGCCTAACCAGGAAAAGAAAAGGGGGATTGGAAAAAGGAAAATGAACATTTAAAAAAAAAAGACAATGAAAAAAGGAGAAAAGACTAGAGTTGGAGCCAAGGAATTTGGAGAAACAGAAGTCTTTTCTCTCAATATATCCCGTTGGCTCCCATCTCTGCCCCAGAGCGCTCAACGCCCAGTTTACTCCAGAAACAGTTCCTACATGGAGATGGCCCTCAGCTGACTGACTACCTGGGTGGCTGGGACATGGGGCAAGGAGAAGCGGTGGGCTGCCTGCATCCCGCATCCTGATGGAGGGCCCCACCAGGTGGTGGTAGGCATGTGGGTGTGAAGGGGGGCAGGGGGAGGACAGAGGCTGCTGCCATGTCCCGGGAGGACCAGGTCTCAGGCCCCTGGAATGTGTCTACAACCAAAAAGTCAGCCCTCCTGTTTTGCACAGTCATGGCCAGCAGGCTGAAGTGCCCAGGAGTAGGGAGCCGAGAGCAACCGCGTCCGCTTTCTGCCTTTCTTTCTAGATCGCTGGGCACTGGGGGCGGGCAGGCAAGCGTCCCCAACAACAAAGGGATGTCCTAGCTCCTCTCTAGAGGCCAGCACCCCACCACCCCTGCCCACTAAAGCCTCGCCGGCACTCACTGGAACTCGGAAAATGCTGCCAGCAGGTCCTCAGTCTTGAGTGCTGGCTCAAAGTCGTAGATCTCCACCACGTGGGCAAAGTCCTTCTCTCCAGGCAGCTCCCCTACAAAGGAGGACGTGTCCACGTGGATCTTCTCTACCTGAATCTCCTTCTCGGTCAGGTTGTCCATTATCTGGGAGGGATCAGACCTTTAGCGAGGGGAACTCTGACACACAGGGCTCCAAACAACTGCTTTCAAAACCACACTGAGAGGCCTGCAGCCGCTCCCTCCACAGTCAGCAGGGCAAGATCACCAAAGGTGGCCTCCCATAGAGCCGCACCTGGCAGGAGTCTGGGAGAGGCAGCATGATGGCAGGGTGGGCTAGAAGATGGAGAAGCGTGAGTTGTAGCAGAGCTAACTTACTTTTATGGAGTCCTCATTGGTGACTGGCACTTACACACATTATGTTTCATAGAATCCTGAAAACTATACTCCATATACCTGCTTTACAGATGGGGACACTGTAAATCAGAGTTAAGTAATTCTGCCCAAAGTTGCACAGTCAGTAAGAGACAGAGCTGGGCAAATTCAGGACCCTCCTTCCCTTGTTAATGATGTGGTATTAAGCAAGTCTTTCTGGTCTCCATCTTTCATCTATAAAATAGCAATAAAGGATGCCTGCCCTCCCAACCGAACACCACAGCCAGTCTCAGGGGCAGGCCCACAGTTCCAAGGAAATGAGATTTGTAAGACAATGCTTCAGGCAGAAAAATAATTCTCATGACCAACATCTGTAGTCCCTTACAAAGCAATTCCACATCCCATCTGTGTTACCTTGTGAAGCATGTATCATTATCTGCTTTTCAGATGAGGAAACTGAGACTTAGAAAAGCAAAATCACTTGCCCACGGGGGCCAGCCCGGTGGCACAAGTGGTTAAGTGCATGCACTCCACTGCAGCAGCCCGGGGATCGCTGGTTCGGATCCCGGGTGCACACCAACGCACCGCTTGGCAAGCCATGCTGTGGCGGCGTCCCATATAAAGTGGAGAAAGATAGGCATGGATGTTAGCCCAGGGCCAGTCTTCCTCAGCAAAAAGAGGAGGATTGGCAGATGTTAGCCCAGGGCTGATCTTCCTCACCAAAAAAAACAAAAAATGACTGGCCCACAGTCAACCATCTCCTACATGGTTGAGCTGGGACTGAGATCTGCACCTCTGACCCCACGTCCTGAGCCTCCTCCTCTCTACTGTGTCGGTCCTAACTCCTTTGGGCAAGGTCCCCGTGCTCGTCCACCACATCCCCTAAGGGATCTCTATCACCCAACACCCAGCCCTGCTCCACCAGCACATCCCCCGCCCCTCGACACTGTAACCCTGGGTCCCCATCCACCCAGGACTACACCCACCTCACTTCCGCCCTCCCTTTTCCGTCCTTAAGAGCCTCATCACCTCCTGCAGGAGATCACTACAATCGTCCTCAGAGCAGCTGCCAGGCCCCTCCTCTTCCTCTTCCTCCTCCTCCTCCTCCTCTGCCGCCAGGCTCTTCTCCAGCTCACTCCCATTCCCCTCTTCCAAGTCCAGCTGCAGACTGGACCTGAGCTGTGTGGCCGTCTCCAACCTGTCTCCTGTCCCTGAGTGGCTCTCAGGCCCTGGGGGCTCAGTGCCAGCTGGGTCCAGCAGCTGCTCATTCTCACAACGTTGGCCTGGGCCCTTTAGGTCCTCTGTTGCCTGAGTCATCAACACAGGGAGTTCCTGATCAGAGTTGGGGTCCCCAACACCAACATCTCCAGGCTCCTCCGGAAGCCCGCCAGCTGCAGCATCTGCCTTGAACCCTGGGGTCGGGGGTGGTGCCCACTCTTCTTGCCTCCGCAGTATCCGGGGTACATACAAAGCCTGGTCTGGCTTTCGTCCACGATGCCACCGGCCGGCCCGCGACCCTTGGGGACCAGCAGCCGCTCCCTTGTTTGAGGTGGGCCGAGGACCTCGGTACTTGCCAGGGTGGGAGGCAGGAGGGCGGCAGGGGCCAGAGAGTCCATCTGAACTGGGTGACCTGGGGCAGGAGCAGGTGATCAGAGCGGTGTTTGGGCCCCAAGGAAATGGTTTCCTGGAGCTACTGCCATTCAGGCACGTGACTCTCAAGTCAGCATCGGGCAAAAACCAGAGCCCAAATGACCCCTGAGAATACCTTAGGAAGGCATCTTAGCCTTCAGAATACCATCTCTGAACAAGCCCAAAGCAGCCAGCTCTCCCTCCAGTGCTATAAACCGACTTAGAGATAGGTGAATCTTCGGTTATGTACCAGGTGCGGTAAGTACTTGCATTAAGTAACTATGTTATTAGAAAAGTATCTAACTTCAAAGACTAGGATCACAGTCATTATGATAAGGTCCTGTGAGATGCACATGGAAACAGAGGCGTGAAGGCTCAGATGTGCTTCTCACAGCCCATGGCCTCTCTGGGCACGAGCTCATGGAGAGGAATGTTGGGCTGACATCCTCACTGCTTAATCTGTCTCTCTCTCTCTCTCTTTTGGTCCAATGTGTACAGTTGAATTTGCTAAACAAATTCCATGAACAATGCACATCTACTCCACTGCTGAAGCAAAAGGCAGCTCTGAACCTGGGGATAGAGGCAGCAGCCTGGGGGCTCCCAGCCCTGGTTCCCAACAAGCTCACCCCACCACCCACAAGGAACTGCTGAGGGCCCTCCAAGGCGGTAGGATACACACCTGATGTCCAGGTGACAGATGACCGTTCTCCTCCTCCAGCCCTCCCCAACAGAGAAGCTGCTCAAAAGATCAAAATTCTCTGCCGTCCTATGGATCAGGTACCGGAGGCGACTGGAGAGCGGGGGAAAAAGAAGTACCCTAGGAAGGGACGGGAAGGAGTGCTGAGCAGGGGCTCCAGGTGCAGCCCCTGGGGTCTGACACCCACCATGTCCACTCCCAGTTTAAAGGTGGCTTAACACTAGGCTCCCTCTGCCCCCTTGGGTCTCAGACCAACTGCAAAGGAGCTGAGCATAGAGGTGATCACAGGGAGCTACTGGTCCCATCCCTACTCCTGCGCTGGGTCCCTTCAGTCTCGGGGTGATGCTCAGAATTACATGGGAAAGATGCAGCTGGGAGAGGCCAGAGAGCAGATTATTCAACCTCAAGGCCAAGGTCACAACCAGCCGCGAACGCCCGGGGAAGGGGGCACAGGCGGCTTGGGGGAACCCTGCCCTCCCAGCAGCAGAGCGGCCCAGGCGGCCACCCCTCCTCCTCCCTCACCCCCGCTCACTTTGACAGCTGCTTCTGCAGCAGGAAGCGGTCCAGCTCCTCCTGGATGCGCTGCACAAAGTCATTCTCGGCCGCGGAGAGGAAGACGCCGTCCAAGCAGAGCAGGGCCAGGGTGACAGTGGGAGAGCCTGGGGAGCAGACGCCACGGCCGGGCTCAGAGCCGACCCCGGGCCCGACCTCTCTGCCGGGAGAGGAGCCAGGATCCGAGGCGGGCAAGGGACGTGCGCAGGGCCCCAGCGAGGCGGCGGCGGGCGAGGGAAGGGGCCCCTGGGCCGCTAGAGCGCTCCCGGCACGGGGAGCCCAGCCCCCCTCCGCGCTCGCTCTCCCCGGGCTCGGCGCCTCGGGCCTGCTCGGCGGGCGCGGTCGGCCCTCCCCAGCCGGGAGCCAGAGGCCGCAGGGCGCGAGGCCCGCCGCAGCGGGGAACTCGCCCCAGGCCCTCCGCACTCACCGCGGCCGCCCCGCGCGTCGCCACCGCCGCCGCCCGGAGGGTCCCCAGAGGCCTGCGCGCCCTTGCGCGCGACAACGAGCCGGGCATCGGCGGAGCCACAGCGCCGCCGCGCGGCCCGGGGGAGGCATCGCAGAGACGCGGAGGGGCATGCTCTTGACTTTTTTGTCCTAAGAGCACAGTCTTCCCCGATAAGTTAAGTTCAGCGAACACTTTCGAGCGGCTCCTATATTTTCCGGTACGTTGTTCCCTTCCCTAGGGACGTAACAGAGGAATGAGGAAGAAGGACGTTTCGGGGCACCAAGTATTTCCTCACCCTTTGCCCATCACTGCCTGTCATAGGCCCTCTTTGATGCAACCTGCAAAAAGGTCTAGCTCACACCAAGAGGTCACTCACCAAGGGGTACTAGCCTTGTGGGGACAGGGCGGGGTAGCCGCTAGCATGGCGATTTGTAGGCCATCAAATTACACTACTTTGCTACATCCAGAAATAACTCAGCACCCACCTTAAATAGGACTTGAAATTCTTGCCCTCAGACAGCCCTTCGGATGGGCTAGTATAATCCAGAAGACCAGGGCTTCAATCCTGTTCCCTGCAAGGTGCTGAAATGTAAGCTCTTGATCATCCTGAATCCAGAAGTCCAGAGCAAAGCAGGGCCCTGAGCTAACAGCATTTAAGACTCAAGTTTTAGTACAGGGGTGGGACAGTCTGAATGGGCCCTGCAGTAGGATTTAGATGAGGTCAGGGGGAGAATGTACCTCAAAAGGCTGGCTGGGAGACGAGGCATGGGAACAAAAAAATGGGGAAAAATTAAAATACATTTTGCTCTCTTGCAATTTTTCCCAGAGTATTTCTAAAAAAGATGGTGGTATTATATTACATTTACGAAAACTATCTTTCCAGGTAGTTTTTCAAGAATAAAAAGCTCCTAGAATAAAGACAAAACCAAATGCAAAGAGAACTCAGGCAGCCAAGTCATGAGCCTCCTTTAGGGGCATAGTTGTGAGAGGAGATTCCAAGGGTCTGACAGGTCCCCTGCCCCCAGCCTCCAGCCTGGAGGGGCATCAGGGCCCTGGGGGGCAGGGGGAGAGAGCGCAGCAGGGAGAACAAGGGATACCCATTTGGATTCTGACTTTGCCAGCCCCACCCACAGTCCACACTGGCTTGATTGAAGTGGGAGCAGGCCTGGGGAGAATGCCGATGGCCACACAATGGCATTGTTTTATCTGACCAGGCTTCCTTGACTGGGAGGTGTGAGGCTGGGAGGCAACCCCACTTAGCAGCTGTGGACCAGATATGACCTGGGAGAAATATGCATGCTGACTCAGAAAACAAAGGCCCACCTTTCTCCACAAAGTAGCCATCTCTTCCCAAAATGGAGGAATAAACCAAAAACCCAGGAAACAATCCATGCCCCACCTCTTTAGAGGTGGTCCAAGGTAGAGAGACTCAGAAACAAAGCTTGCAGAGGAAGGCTGCCCATGAACCCAGTTTCGTTTCTACCACACCCTCTTCAGGTAACTCAGAGGCTGAACAAGCAAAGGTATCAGCACTCAGGCATCCACCATGGGTGGAGGTTATCAAGGGATGCCCAGATAAATGGGGAAGGGTGTCAAAGCAGATCTACCCACACTATTTTGCAACAAATAGCAAGTGAGGATAGAATGGTTCCCATTCAGAGGTGCGTAAATAGAACGGAAAGCAGCACAAAGGATATGCAGAACTTCTACAGGAAAAAATAAGAAAAAAAGCATAGCAGGAAAAAGATAGAGGATAAGAGTATATTGGAAGATTCTCTTAAGAAAAGAAGAGAATCTTCTTTCATATTTCAAAAGTTCAGTTCATAACTGCTTCACATTCCCAAGGAAATCAAAGAAAACCTGATTCTCATGCCGCAACAGATAAACCAACAGATTGAGATGAAAGAGAACTGTGAGAGCCAGGGAAAGACCTAAAAGAGGTGATCATGTTCATCACAGAAGCAGCAAAAACTAGTCAACACGCCAAAAACAAATGAGTGACACGAAGTCAAGGCTTGGGAAAATGAGAGTAGAGAAAATAGTAGAGAAAAAATAGTAGAGAAAATAACTACTATTTACATAAAGCTGCCATCTAAATTGCACATATTAATCTTTGCAGCAGCCCCTTCAGATGGAGATTGCTGCCTTTATTGCAGGGGAATAAACTGAGGTTTAGCCAAGGGCACCAGCTCCCAAGTGTAGAGCTGGAACTTAGTCAAATCCAGGTCTAGCCTGACTGCCACGCCCACGCTCCTGAACAACACAAGAGTAAGAGTTTCCATCTTTAGAATGTTATTAGAACTGTCTTGGGACTGTGGCCAGTAGCCAGACACAGAAGGCAGGAATTAAATAAATTGGATGAATCCAATCAGTTAGAGAAGCATGCTGGGTGTGTGCCGTAGAATTTTGCCTGAAACAGGACGTATGATTGAAAGATTATGAAAGGGTTGAATGTAGGGGACATGAGGTTGCACAGTCCCATCTGAAGGGATGGACCTAGAGTCCTCTGCTGCCATAGTGACCCTAAATCACAACCCAGGGCACCTTTCCTGGCTACAGTAGGATCACCCCAGCACCTGAAGCTCCAGAGTCCGTGCCTGGTTTCACATCTCCTCACTCTAAGCAACCTCAACCTGCCTGAGATGGTAACAGAGGCACTGCATTGTCTGCCCAGTAACCTCAGCTTGCTTGAGATGACAAACTGTTGTCTCCATGTTTAAAGTTAAGTGTAAGAATATCCAGTTTATGTTTGTTATTGAAAGTCCTGGTAATGTTTACATAGTTTTGGCATATTAGAGAATCTAATTCATTAGGTGGTGATTCCATTTAAACAGTGAAATGGATCTGACTTACAATTTTAAATGGGCAGATGTAAGAGTATTTGGCTAAGTTTGTAAACAGTATTATAATATTAAAGAGGACTGGATTCACAATAGTTTAAGATCAACAAGCAGTGTTTAAATACAGCACACAGGAAGGTTTTGCTTCATAGTCTACTGGGTCATCCATTTGATGTGTATAAGAAGAAAATCAGGACTTCTGGGCAGATGGAATAAATGTATTTTTCCCTATTCCTTCTACTAAATGCAACTAAAAACCCTGGACATTATATATAAAACAAACATAAAGAGACTCTGAAAGGTGGAGAGAAGAAGGCAGACCAGCTAGGGACCTAAGGTTCCAAAGAACAACTAAGTGAAAAGTTTCCTGGGTTTTCTGTATGCCTCAAATTCCCAGAGTTGGAACTTAAAGAAGCCAGCAACCCAGAAACACCAATGAACACAGACCAAAAACAAAAAAACCCCACCCCAGCAAGAGCCTTTTTTCTCTCTGGCTAAAAGTACAGGCTAGCAAGACAGAATACTTTGAGATAAAGACTACTGTTATCCCCAGCTAAACACCATCCCCACTCACACCAGGAAAGGCCGAGTAGGAGCCTAGATTGTCAGGCTCACCAGATTGTAATGAAGTGCCACAATTTTCCCATCAAGACCATGTCAGAGAAGGCCGTGTAGAAAGCTGGGACTTTCATGCCCTCCAAGCAGTAATGAGCCACAGCCCCTGCCTGCAGTGTCAGTAGAGACCCCTGGAGAACCTGGCTTCCACCTCCACCCAGAAGTAATGAAGAGCCTCCACCTCCGGTGTCAGTGGAGGCTGAGTGAGAACCTGGACTTCAACCCCCACCCAGCAGTAACCCTCACCCGGCAGTGACAAGGCAATGCCCCCCATTCCCCTGCTGGAGTGGTGTCAGAGAGAGATAGCTAAAGAGAAATATAAATAAGATCCAGACTCTCATAACATAACACCCAAAATGTCCAGGATTCAATCAAAAATATCTTATGATACCAAGACTAGGAAGATCTCAGACTCAGCGAAAAAAGATAGTCAATAGATGCAAACACCGAGATGCCAGAAATGTTACATTATCTGACAAAGATTTTAGAGCAGCCAAGATAGAAATGCTTCAACAAGCAATTATGAACACACTTTAAATAAATGAAAAAATAGTCTCAGCAATGGCATAGAAGATATAAAGAAGAACCAAAAGGAAATTTTAGAATTGAAAAATACAGTAACTGAAATAAACTCAGTAGCAGAATGGAAGGGGAAAAGGACAGAATTCTTGAACTGGAAGATAGAACAATAGAAATTACCCAATCTGGACAATAAGAGAGAAAATAGACTGAAAACAAAAATGAACAGAGACTAAGGGATCTGCAGGACTATAACAAAAAGATTTAACAATTGTGTCATTGGAGTCCCAGAAAGAGAGGAGAAAGAGGGTAAGGCTGAAAAAGTGCTTGAAGAAATAATGACTAAACACTTCCCAAATTTGGAAAGAAACATAAACCAACACATTCAAACAGCAAAAAACAGAACAAAACCACAGAAATCCATACCAAGAAACATCATTATTAAACTTCTGAAAACTAAAGACAAAGAAAATTTTGAAAGCAGCCAGAAAAATATCTTATCTTACCTATAGGGGAAAAATTATTTGAATGATGGTGGACTTCTCGTCAGAAACCAGAAGGACAGAAAGAAGCAGCACAACTTTTTTTGCAAGTGCTGAAAGAAAACAACTATGAACCCAGAATCCCATATTCAGTGAAAATATACTTCAGGAATGAAGAAGCAATCAAGATATTCTCAGATGAAGGAAGAATTTGTTGCCAGGAGACCTAGCCTAAAAGAATGGCTAAAAGAAGTTTTCTACACAGAAAGGAAACAATAAGAGAAATAATCTTGGAACATCAGGAAGAAAGAAAGAACACAATAAGCAAAGATATAAGTAACACAATAGAATCTTCTCAGATCTTCTAAATTATGTCTGATGGTTGAAGCAAAAACTATAACACTGTCTGATGTGGTTCTAAATACATGTAGAGAAAATATTTAAGACAATTATATTATAAATGGAGGAGGGTAAAATGACATAAAGGGAGGTAAGGTTTCCATACTTCACTCAAATTGGTAAAATGACAACACTAGAAGACTGTGGTAAGTTATGTAACACCTAGAGCAACCACTAAAAGAGTTATATAAGAGAGACATTAAAAAAATACTATAGATAAGTCAAAATAGAATTCCAAAAAGTATTTAAGTAACCCACAGGAAGGCAGATAAAAGAAAACAGAGAAATGAAAAACAGAGAGAACAAACAGAAAACAAAAAATAAAATAGCATACTTAGACCCTAACATATCAATAATTAGACTAAATGTAAATGTTCTAAATACACCAATTAAAAGACAGAGATGTCAACTAAAAAATGTGATTCAACTATATACTGTCTACAAGAAGCTTGCTTCAAATATATAGACATATTGAAAGGATGGAAAAAGGTCTATCATGCAAACATTAATCAAAGGAAAGTGGGTGTAGCTATATTAACTTCAGATAAGATAAACTTCAGAGCAAAGA